GCGGGACGTTTGAACCTCGTCTCACTGCGGGACGTTTGAACCTCGTCCTGTCGCTTCAGCTCAACATGTAAACAGAGATTAGAAAGTGCACAGAACAGAAATCATAGTTTGCATGGTTTGATGAGTCGCTATAATCCTACTTCTTATTATGAAGGAGCGGTTTGTAGGATTTAATGGCCTCTAGTGGTGAGGCTGCAGATTGCACCCAAATGAATACCCCTCTCCTCACTTCTCCCTTTACAAGACGGGAAGAACTACGGTGGCCTTCAGGTGACATAAAAAGACGCAGTAAAGGACAGCACATATCAACAGATAATTAGTCACCAACACTGATTCACCAGATTCTTTTAATGTGCTGATGGTTTGATATCAAGTCTACAGCAAAGAGAGAAAAGGCCGTGATTGTAACGTTACACTGGTTATAGAAAAAGAGCAGTTTATAAATCAATGCAGGACTGCAAATACACATTATTTCATTATCTGCTAATGTGCCGATTATTCTCTTGATTTGTTGTTTGACTTTTTTTCAATGAAATGTAAGAAAACAGTGAAATACGCTCCTGGTGACGTCCTCAAATAGACTTGTTTGTTCTGAGAGAACAGCTCAAATCCAAAGATATTCCATTTATTACAAAATACGACAAATACAAGTAGAACATTTCCACCTTTGAGACGCAGGACCCTGTAAATGTTTTGTCCTTTTTGTAAGAAAAAATGTAAAACAATTGATGAACTGACTCATCGTTTTCAGCTTTAATGTCTTGAATTCAGGGAATCCTAAATAAATCCTAATAAAACTATAAGAACATGATCTCTGTGTCACACATGACGTGAAGCCCTTTTTCCTCGCAGCAACAACGGCGCGAGCGCGAGATGAGGAGGCAGCAGGAGCGAGAGCAGCGCCGCCGCGAGCAAGAGGAGAAGAGACGCGTGGAGGAGCTGGAGCGACGCCGCAAAGAGGAGGAGGAGCGCAGGAGGACCGAGGAGGAGAAGAGGAGGGCCGACCGAGAACAGGTACACGAGTCCAGCAACACCTGAGCATTTATATCTTATTCGTATGGATGTGAATCAAAAGGAAAGAGATGCTTTGAGTGTGATTGTTGATGTTTTTTGTGATCAATTTTGAAGTGCAACCATTTCTATATTTGTTCTTATTGAGCCCCTTTACATCTCAGTTGCTGTTTTTATCATGGCCCCTAATTAAATTACTTTTTTCCTGTGTGACTTTGGCTCATAACGTGGTTCTGAATATGATTTTTTCTATGTGGAACATTGCATTTCTTTTTGCAAAAAAACCCCCAACACACGAAAACTTTGGGACTTTCTTCTTGCAATCACAAGATCCTGAAATCCTGCTTATTGTTGCCACATTTCCGTGTCGGCACCACGATTTGCACACCGTCCTCATGGTGAAGATGCCGTATGTGCAAATTAGATATATTATTCTTTGAGGACGCTGAGCTGAAGGGGGCGGGGCTGGTCTGTGTTTTGATCGACAGGACTACATCCGCCGTCAGCTGGAGGAGGAGCAGAGGCACCTGGAGATCCTGCAGCAGCAGCTGCTCCACGAACAGGCCATGCTGCTGGTGGGTGTCTGAAGCATCACATTCATATTCTCGTCTCTTCCTATTTTATTATTATTCCCTCCTACACGTATTCCCTCTCTGTCTTTCTTTCAAAAAGTTTCTTCTCTTTCTTACTTTTCCATCAGTTTGTGTCCCAGGAGGTTTATTTCTGTAATGTTTCCACAGCTCTCAGCTTGTTAAACTTTATAACGCAGGTACTTATTATTCCTCCGTCACACAAACTTTCCTGATTGAGTTTCTGATCTGAACTTAATCGAGTTTTCTTCGGGACTAACTCAGGACTTTTGTAGATCCGAGGAGAGCTGTTAACGGTTGAGGTCAGAACTGTATAAGTGTTCTCAGGGTTTCTTTTGCAGAGGAAGTCGGGATGTTTACGGGGCTCGTAGTGACGGCGACGTCGTCACCAGGAAACTGCTCATCCAGCTGGAAGAGAGGGCTTCCCCTGTTTCACACTCCAGATGTGTTTTATATTTAAAGGATTGTGCTCCTCTGGAGGATACTGTCATAATGAAAGGATATGAGCCTCGTATCCTCACACGTCTCTTCATCATCGGCTCCTCCATCATTGATCAACTTCATTCTATGATTCTGTTAAATCTCATCTAAAGTACTCGAACACCAGATTCTACAAGAATACATCGTGTACTTATACCTGGTTTAACAGGCTAGTTCAGATGTGGCCTCTGGCAACGTGCACAAGAATCACAGCTCATAAAAACCATTAGTGTTTTAATAGTTCAGTGGTTTAACTTTGACCAGCGGTTAAATGCTGAAAACAGATGTGCAGCGTCGTCCCACAAGCTGTTTCTTCACTTTATTTAGTTTAGTTAGTTTTCGGAGGTCAAACCTTATTTATTTTAAAAACACCACCCTACACAATCATTTTGTCATCCGTTAGTTAGTAGAACCTATCTTATAATTGAACTCTTTGTAATTTAAATTTAAACTGGCGACTGTTGGCTGTTGATGTGGCTCTTCAGTCAGAGATGATGTTCAATTTCAAAACAATAAAGATCCACATCTGTTCCTCAAAGCCGACGTGTTGGCTCTACTAGAAGATAAAGCTCTGATTAAAGCTCTGATACTCTGAGTATTACGACATGAGGGGAAATTAGTTTATTTGTTATTTTTGCATTTCAAGAATAAAGTCAAAATGTTGAAAATAAAGTTGAACTTTCAGTTTTCAGAGCGAGGCATAAAAAAAACAAACGAAAAGCTAAATCAGAGGAGGAAGTTTATTCTTATTTTGCATTTTGAGAATAAAGTCAAAATGTTAAAAATAAACGTTGAACTTTTGAGAATAAATCAGATGAAATGAATTACAAATCTGAGACGTAACAGACAGTAAAGACCCCCCCCCCCTAATCGTTTCCTAACAGCGTCTCTTCTTCAGGCGTCTCACGAGGAAGCTCACAGCGATGTGCTGCCCACATCACAGGTTTGGAGAATGAGCTGTAATGTTGAACAGTGTTGCTCCTGAGACTTTGCAGAGAGAACAACATGTTTCCTTCGTGAAGATCAGGAGGACTTGAGACTCTAGATTGGTTTGAATGTTTGGGGATCCCAGAATACGTTCAGGTTGCTGTCTTCTAAACAGAATAACATATTTAAAAAAGCAGCTGTGGAGACGACACGACTTCCCACAGAGGGTTTCTTTGGTTCAACTTGCCCCTCCCTGTACTCAGGAGAATAAATGGCGGGAGCTTGAGGAGCAGCGCCAAGCCCAGAAGCTCCAGATACAGCTGCAGCAGGAGCAGGCCTACCTGCTGTCCCTCCAGCAGAACCAGAGCCCGGGTAGTAACAAAGCAGCCCAGCAGCAGAGCACCAAACCCCCTCAGAGCGCTCCACGGGACATAAAGCCCGAAGAACCACCGCAGAGCTCGGACTCTGAAGGTCAAAAACTCAGTCCGGAGAAAACCACAGAATCCAAACTACCCAACGCTGACCTCCGAGGCCCCGCCCCCCGAGGCCCCGCCCCTGACTCTGAGCCAATCAGAGAGGTGAACCCCGCTTTTGCAGCATCGCCGCGCTGACGTGCTGCAGAATGTTTCCTCTGCTTGTGTGTACTCACTCTCTAGCTGCTGGTGTGGGACGTGTGGATCAATGTCTAATAACTTAACAGCTCCATGATGCAAATAGAGTCCAGCGAGTTAACTCTAATTTAGACCCAAATTAAAAACCATCACCAATATTAAAGACCTTTTAAAACTACTTGTGCAGCAGCAACACACCAGTTAATATGTATGCTCAGTCCGTACAGCTCTATATGGAAGCCCATTTCCAAAGCAAGAAAAAGGTCACAAAAAAAATAAAAAATCCACCCCCCAAAAAAATACAAAATAAAATAATACTCATTATTTATTCATTTTGCTGGCGGAAAAACAGTAAAAAAAATAAACAGATTTTTTTTACTTTTTTTAACTTTTTTTCCAGCAACAAATAAAAAAATGAAAAAAATGCACCAACACTTTTGGTGCATCCATCTGTAACCATAACACTGACCAGATGTTTCCAGTTGCTATAGAAAGTCTAAACGATGAGTCATAGAAGCAGCTGTTCATAGGTTACCCTACATGTGAC